CCTTCATCACAACCTGATACTTTTTATACTCCATGAGGTAGTAATATCCTGATTTGATCGAGTATCTCCCATTCATAGTGTCTGGCCAAATAAACCATTTAAATTACAGACATTTGATTATTTCATATAAAAAAAAAACTATATATTTTTTTTAAAAAAAGTTGAAGACTTGAAAAAGAAGTATACAAAAACTATATTTTGTATGGCCAACATTAACACTCACTACAAAACAAAAAGCCTTTTGCCGTCGAAAATGCCCTTTTTCAACGGCAAAAGTCAGTCGGAAGTCGTCGCTAAAAGGCCGGTTGCAAATACTTCATTTCCGACCATTCCGTTGGAAATAATGTATTTCCGACGCCCATACTTCGTAGCTATTGCTTAAATTTATATCGGAAATGGATTTTTAAAACGACCCTACATATTCATTTCCGACCATACATGTGGTCGTAATTACTTATTTGATTGTCGGAAATAGTTATTTTATCGTGATTTCTTGTTTTTGCGAATTCATATTTTCGACCAATGAGTGTCGTTAGAAATACTTTTTCCGACATTGATACATTATTTGTGAGGTCTAGATTTCGTCATAATTATCATTACCGACCAAAAGAGTTTGTGGAAAATATATAATAGATCGTCGGAAAAGAGTATAACAAAATATTTCCGATGGGCAAGTTATGTCAGAAATATATATTTCCAACCAAATTTATTCGTCCCAAAGTTTGTCGCAAATAGATTAATCCTGTCGGAAAATATTTTCAACGAAACAAGTGGTCGGAAATATAATTGTTTCGACCCGATTATGTCGTGGGGAATGTTGTCGGAAATAGGCAATTATTGTCAGAAAGTATTTCCGATGATAAAGTGTTTGTTGGAAATATGCATTACCGAGAGGGAAATGCGATCGAAATATATAATTATTTTATTAAAAAAAATTAATAAAAAGAAATTTGAATTATAATAAATGTTTTCTAATCATCCATATTTAATTGGTAATAAAAAAAAAAAACATACGACAGCATACTGTACTAAAATTTTAAGCATTCAATTAAAATTATTCTCAATAATTAAAACATAAACAATCCCCATCATCCTTAAAACATATAAACAATCCGCAAATATATCAAAACATTGAAATTCAAAATACATATTGTAGCAAAATACAATTGATGTTGCACTACTCGTCTTCGAGGTGAGCATCTGAACAACTTTCTACATATTGTCCTGTCGAATAAAAGATAATAATTAATAAGACATAAATCGTTTGAGAATAAAAATAACAAATACAATATTTAACAGTGAGCAAAATATTGAAATGAGAAGAAAAGAGTTCACCATTGAAGCGGATTGTCTTGAGCGTGCATAAGTATTTGAGTTGTTTTCCCTCATACTTTGAACTAGATCTTTCAATTCATACAGCACACTTTTCAAGTTCTTCACTTCCTCTTTTAATTTCTCATGCTCTTCTTCACGTTCTAAGCATATACGTTTATTACAACCTTGGTCATCTGAGGGATACACATCTTTTGTACTATAGCCACCACCCAAGCTAAGGATACGACCGTGACTTGGCCCACCAATAACCTCCTTGTATATATCTCAATCATCTACTTCATTCTCGTCTTCCGTTGCAGCAACCTTTTTATTCTCCATTTTATCCTTCAATGAAATAGTAGAAATATAAACATGGATATAAAAAAATTTCATGTGAATAAATTTTTTTTTAAAAAAAGATAAACAAAGTACGGGCAACGTACAAAAAGTTCTTTAGCCTTTTCACTTGGCCAACTTTCTTCCCCTCAATTCTTAGGCTTACTTACATGGAACTTTTTGAAACAATCAATTGGACTCGGTTCAATTCCAGTTTGATCAAGCTAGTAAGATTTAAACAATGAAGTTTGTTAGGACCAAATTTGGAAATAACCACAAAAGGAACAGTCAACAAAAAGCAACAACCAAATGGATATTTTTACCTCAACTTTTCTGTACTTTTCCACTGGAACAGAACCTGTTGTATGCACAATTGTGGATTTCGCCCTATTAGACTTGTTTCTTTTACTTTTATCCTGCATGAAAAAAGTAAATCATACCCTAATATTAACTTAGTGACCCCATATAAGGCATCTATAAATAAACCAAAGCATACACTAGCCAGTCATAACAATATTATTTTAAATTGAGTTTTTACCTGCCATGTAGGCTGCAACCAATGATCAACCAGTTTAGACCAAACATCTTGAGATATCCCTAGTGGGCAATGAGTGTATCTATCACCAGTAGTCTTGTATTTCTTAAAAACGCTATTTCTCAATGACGACATCTAATCGGAATATCGCAATTTAATATGTTCTTCGAATGCCTCCCTCATCTCTTCTTATGAGCATGTGTGTGTATATCCTGTTGCGTTAAAGCGATCATACAGTAAATCCATTTGAGTTGATGGAAATGTTTTAAATGTTGGCCATGCTCCATCGATAGCTTGATAAAAAAGCACTCCTATAGTTCGCACAGCTCCAATGGTTATAATCCTAAAAATTTAAACCAAATTTAAATAAATAAATAAAAATGAATCTACGCAAGAAATGGCTAACTTTGCATGCCTTATACATTACCTTCCTCTACGTATTACAATTGGAGTGCCGTTTCCATCTTTACCCTTAGCCTTCCCTCTACCTTTTTTTTATTCCAACAGTTGAACCTAATAAAAAAAATACAAATATTTGAAGTACTGGGGAACTTCTACTACAACCAATTTTTTAGTGCGAATCAATGAGATATCAATGAAGAAAAGTGAAGAAAAGTCAAAGAGAAGAAAGTCATGAAGAAATTGCAAAACAAAACCCGCCCAATTAAATAGCATGCTGCTCAAAACTATCCAAATTTTGCTATTTTGATAGCTGCTTCCCACTATTAACATCTCAATGTATATACAAACATGTCTACTATTTTAACATAACAAGTAGCCTGTTAAATATGATATTACTTTTTATTTTCTTTAAACTCAAAAAGATATTGGTGAACCAAAAATTAATTCAACACATTCACAGAATAAGAAAAAAAATACACTAATCATTTGAGCAAATAAAATAAAGGTTGAAAGTAAATACCTGATTTTCCGAAACCACCCATTCCAAAAATCTTGTGCGCCCTGATGCAAATATATCTTCTATGAACGGTAGTTGGAGGTTCTTAGTTGCAGATATAACAGCAAATCCCTTTGAAATGGTAAACATGATCACTCCAAATATGATGATCCTCCCAACCCAAGAATCTTTTCTGACCCACTGAAATTGATAAAACAAATATGAAATCAATATTTTTATCTTCCTTTTGGTCATAAATGTTACTGTCAAACTAAAAATTAAAGAAAAACTTACCTGACTTTTCTTTCTCTGTTTAGACTTTGGCCGCTTGATGTATGTATGAAGTGAAGAATTAGAGAGTTTTTCCTTTCTAATTTTATAGCCAAAAAGATCACCAAAGAATTTGAGAGTTCTAAGTCGATGAAGAAAACTGATGGGTGTAAAATATGTGGCTTTATGTTTATATAGCAGAGGTTGTGTGAATTTTTTTGTTTTCCTATTTCTTTTCTTTTTGAACATTTAGAAACTCAATAATGATAAGGTAGTCACGTGTTCTCTGCAAACTGCCTCTCTCACGTTCATATTCCAATGGATGGATAGACACAAGACTTTTTTTACGTCGTTATCTGTCAACTGTCAGCTATTTTTTGGACTTGCTGAAATGCAATGGTAGGTAGCAATTCAAATGCTACAAAAGATAATGTTCCAAGCACGGGAAAGTTTCTTGATAAGGTGGAAAAGAGTACAAACTTCCAAATTCCAATTCATTTCAATCCTAATATTTGTAAAAAATTTGTATGTATCACAAATTAATCATGTTTCGTCATACATAAGGATTTTATTCTATATTGTGGAACACGATTAAATGAACGTAACAAAATAGTCTTATTCTTGTCACATGCAATTTCTTCTTTAATTTCTTAGGCCTCTTCATTGTAGCATGAAAAGTCACAATTACAAGACAAAATAGTGTTTGTCTTAAGATAAGCACTCAAGGCCATCCTCGCCTTTAGAGTTGAAGAGGAACTTTCCGGAACTTTAAATTTAAAGGTTTTTTTTTTTGGTAAACGGAGTATTATATTAAGAAGAATAACACAACAGTCAAGGGCTACAAACAACAAAGACCAACCAGAGAGGCTAGTCACAAAACAGTAAACAAAACAACGACAAAAACTGAAAGAAGAAAGCTTAGAAAGCGTCATGTTCGGTGGGCATGGTAAACCATCCCGTGAAAGTATGAAGACCAGGGTGATTGGAGGTCGAATGACCCAAGCCTCGGCGCACAACCCCCTTCTTGCTTGCGAAGCCACCCAGCCAGCTGCATGGTTCGCATCTTGACGAGTCCATGTCCACCAGAGAGAGGAGAATGAAGCTTTTAGCATTCTAATGACATAGAGGGTAAATAATCCAATTTGAGACAGAAATATCTCCCTGGACAGTAGCAAAACAAACCTTGAAATTAGTTTCCACAATAACATTAGTGAAACCTCTTACATGGACCAGCTCTAATCCACTTCGGATCGCATGACACTGAGCCTGCACAACTGGTGATGACTCAAAACAATGTGCACTGCCATCAAGCAGACTACCCGTATGATCCCTTTATCACTACCCCTGTAGAGCCTGCGTTCGTAACTTTGTCCCAAGCGTCGACACAGTTAATTTTTGACAGTCCCCACCAGAGGATTGACCCACAGATGACTGTCCAAAGGTGGAGTGTTGAAATGGTTTCTATCATCTTTCAATCTCATATGTGATAGGAATTCCACAACACTTCTATCGGCCAATGAGGCCGTGAGCTCTGGCGATGGTGGGTAGAAATTTGATTTGTCATACACTAAATTACAACGAGTTTTCCAAATAGCCGAGCTAGTAAATGCAAAATGAGTTATAATCCATCATTTCTCTCCTCCGAATTAAAGGTCTCACACAACCAAAGATCATTAATCCAACTATCCAACAAAGTGAAAGCTTTAGGCAGAGGTTTGTATGCTCAGATTCTTCCATGGAAAAAAGGCAAATAGGAGACTATAGCAGAGCTTGCTCTTGAAAAGGACCTCAAAAGTGGGAAGGAAACCATTGACCGCGCACCATTGAAAATTTTTGATTTTAGGGAGCGTTTGGCAATTATGAATGCGAAGCTAGACTTTAGAATCAATCACATGGGAAGAGCTCGCCTTCATCACAACCTGATACTTTTTATACTCCATGAGGTAGTAATATCCTGATTTGATCGAGTATATCCCATTCATAGTGTATGGCCAAATAAACCATGTAAATTCCAGACATTTGATTATTTCATATAAAAGAACTATATTTTTTTTTATAAAAAAAGTTGAAGACTTGAAAAAGAAGTAGCGGCTGAAAAAGAAGTAGCAGCTAAAGCTGTTGTTCTTCTTGTTGTTTATATTCTTTTTTATGTTTTGAAAATTGGAAGGAAGAAGCGTAGAGGAGCGGAGAAGGGCTGGGGAATCCGCCTAGGCTGGTGTTGCTGGGGTAAGTCGGCCACTTTAACTTTGAGGGGTAAAGTGAGATTTGACCGAAGTTTCAGGAGGCACTATAGTAAATAACCTTTTCTGGAATTTGTTCAAAAACCCTAGAAATACCCTAATGCCTTTTCTTCCTCGCGGGCGCTTCTCTCTACTCGCCCGACTCTCTCTCTCTCTCCCACCTCTCTCGCATCACACACCAAGCCGACCACTTTGGCCGGCGATTTCTCCCAGCCTCGGCCACCTCCGATGACCATCCACCCCACAAAACGATCGTCTCTCCCTCCTCTACTAATAGAGCAGTCTCTTTGCATTATAGTCTTGCAATTGACCAACATCGTAGTCTCTTTGCATTCTTGTCGCGCAATTGCCATTATATGGGCGCACAATCGTATGTTTATACTTCTACTAAATGCAATTGATGTGTATCCATTTATTTTCATATTAATTATATACCATGAAAGACATGTTGCATATTTTCAGGAAATGGATGCAGAAGCAATAAAAAAGAAGGGAATTTAGGGCCAAAACTCCGTACCTAACAGTGAAGGTTATTTTGCAGAGGCTAAGTCACTTGAAGAAACTGAAAATGTCCGCGACTTCTCAGGTGGATTCTCCTTTTGCAAGAATTCGATCTTGACATCAAAGACAAAAAGGGGACTGAAAATGTTGTCGCCGACCACCTTTCGAGATTGGTTCAAGAAGGTGGAGAGCTCCCTATCAACGAATCATTTCCAGATGAGCAACTGTTCTCTGTCTAACAACTTCCTTGGTATGCAGACATAGTAAATTACCTTGCCCAAAAGTTTATTCCGACAAATTGGGACAAGCAACAAAGGAAGCGCTTCCTCTCCCAAGTGAGACACTACTATTGGGATTATCTGTACCTCTTCAAGCATTGCCTTGATCAAATCATTCGAAGATGTGTTCCTCAAAGTGAAGTTCAGAGTATCTTGACGTTTTGCCATTCATATGCTTGCGGTGGGCATTTCGGTGCAAAGAAGACAACTTTAAAGGTAATGCATAGTGGATTTTATTGGCCTACTTTATTTAAAGATGCACACCATTTGGTTATAACATGTGATAGGTGCCAAAGAACGGGCAACTTATCCTCAAGATCACAGATGCCCTTAACCAATATTTTGGAAGTTGAGTTGTTTGATGTTTGGGGCATCGTTTTTATGGGCCCTTTTCCTATATCTCATGGTTTTCTCTACATTATTGTTGCGGTGGATTACGTTTCTAAATGGGTAGAGGCGCTGCCCACACGGACCAATGATCACAAGGTGGTGTTAAACTTCTTGAAAGAACACATCTTTACCCGTTTTGGAACCCTGCGCGCTATCATTAGTGATGGAGGCTCCCACTTTATCAATAAGCCTTTTGAAGCTCTAATGCGGAAGTATAATGTCACACATAAAGTTGCCACTCCTTACCACCCGCAAACAAGTAGCCAAGTTGAAGTTTCCAATAGGGAGATTAAACACATCCTTGAGAAAACCGTGAATCAAAACCGTAAAGATTGGGCTTTGAAGGTAAGCGATGCATGTTGGGCATATAGGACAGCTTTCAAGACTCCTTTAGGCATGTCTCCTTATCGGCTTGTCTTTGGGAAAGCATGCCATCTTCCGGTGGAGTTAGAACATCGAGCATTTTGGGCCTTAAAAACATTGAATTTTGACATAAATGAAGCTGGGATTGCAAGGAAATTCCAACTTAATGAATTGGATGAATTGCGAAATGAAGCTTACGAGAATGTGAAGATTTATAAAGACAAGACAAAAGGTGCCCATGACAAAGCACTAGTACCCAAGCATTTTGAGCCGAATCAAAAGGTGTTGTTGTTCAACTCAAGACTTCAATTATTTCCGGGCAAACTTCGTTCAAGATGGTTTGGACCGTTTCTAGTTGTTCGTGTATTTCCAGATGGGGCTGTTGAGATTCAAGACATGAAAACAGGTTCTGTCTTCAAGGTGAATGGGCATCCCCTCAAACCTTACTTGGAGCTAATTGATACTTTGACGGCACAAACCAAGACTATTGAGGTGATGTACCTCGACGATCCCCTAGATATGTGAAGATCATTGAGTCTAGTTGAAGACTTTAAATTTAGCGCTTCTTGGGAGGCAACCCATGTTTTGGATGCATGATGATGATGAGAGGATTTTGGTGTTTGCTGCACTTCCTACTCGAGATTATATGCCCAGGGAGCTCTAAACCTTACTCTTTACTCTTTCTTTTCTTGTTTTAATTTTTTTCCCTTTACTTGATTCATTGCATGCATTTTGATTCTTTTTACATTGAGGACAATGTTTCATTTAAGTTTGGGGGGAATAATCTGCTTTAAATACTTGTTTGTCCTTGCAAATTTTTAATGTCCGAAAACGTAGGGTTTTGTTTTGCTTAAAACTGTTTTAATTGGTAACTGTTATGACAATTTGGTCTGTTGTTGCATTCTATGTTTTTTCGTGCTGAATCTAACCATATAAAGATCGTTGAAATCGGACCAGCGGTTTGAAAGTTATGAGTTAAAATCTGAACAGAGGTTGAAACTGCCAAAAACTGCATTTTGAAACTCTTTGTTTTCTTGGTTTGTTTGAGTCTTATTTTATTTCTTTTGTGTTTTTATGTACTTCAGTAGTTAAGTTGTTGTTTTTAATGTCACCAAACCCATAAAAAGTAATTAAAAAAAAATCTACAAAAAAAAATCCAAAAAGATTTTCTTTTTCCTTATCTTGAGTCATTTTAGTTAAGCTTTCCACAAGTCAATGATAACACTTGAATTCTACTTGTTATATAGTTTTTGAGGTTCTTTAGTTAACTTTTTCTTACATGATTATTCTCATATTTTCAATGCACATAGCCAATTGAATGCAATTTGCTTTTGACTTAGAGAATTATATGTGGATTTTAGTCTAATACTTGTATAACCCTTGTGAGTTTTTGTGCCTCGTGCATATTCTTTTCTTGAGAGTTATATATCCTTTTCATGAGGGCACT